GGGAAAGAGAAAGGGAAGGAGTTACGGTATCTGAAAAATGGTCTACATATGTTGAGAGGTTTTCTGCTCCAGCTGGTCAGACTAGCCCGAAAGACACCCCTACCTTAACAGACAATGAGCCAACAACCAATCATCCTGTGAGTAACGACCAGGCAGCAAGGGGGGGGAGGGGCAGAAAGCGCAAGAACACTGACATTAGCAAGAAGGTATAGGATCCACATCCCTTTTCATAATCATTGCCAACGTTGAAGTTTACATTCATTCGTATTTGATGTCTGTGATTGGAAGTTGTACTGTTGCCATTCAGTGTACAACTAGTGTCCCAAAGAACGAAAGTTTGCTAAAAACAACTTTCTTCTAATTATTTCGTGTGATCGTACTATAAAAATATGCCAGAGGTATTCGTGTGTGTAACGTTTGATCTCGCAGTCGGGCGCCTTTCCAAAAAAAACTCGGTCTTCAAGAAACTCTTTGTTGACTTCCTTAAAGAAAGATACCAAAAAAGAAGTAGAAAATATTTTAGGAACGAACATTGCAGCATATAATATCGGTTGTTTGCTAATACGAGGAAGCTACGTAGCCATATACGATCTGCTATCACCAATGCTTTATCATGCGAATGGGGTCAGAGCACTGGTTCATGCTTGTCACTATATAGAAGTTGCAGAACTTTGTATACATAAGCAGAATGAACTAATATTCTTTTAAATGCTAAAAAAAAAGAACAAAAAAAGAAAAAGAATGGAAAGTCATATATTTATTTTCGTAACGTTTAAAGAGATAAGAGAGATATGATTTTCATCTCAGTGCGTCCATTGTGGTGCTGTAAATTAAGTAAAAAAGAAAAGGAGGAAAAAAGAAAAGAATATAGTGCACTACGAATCCCCATTCTTTACTCTATATATTCGCACTATTGGTGTGTTGCTACACCATTAAATGTTACATGACAAACTACAAATTATATTTCTATATTTTAAATATCGATTTATAGTAAAACAACGATATCTCAATAGTAATTTTTCCAAATTTCCAGACGCAAAGATTTATCTAAGGCATTCAGAAATATATTACTCCAAGATTCACTGCTTTGCTTCCTCGTTTTTTATAGCGTAGATAATTTTTGTCTGTCTATGCAATCATCTATGCAAGGGTTTATTCTTTCACGTAGTGATATCTTTTTATATTCGAATCTTTTTATGTAAGGTTGAAAGGTAGTTTGTGCGTTTTATGAAAGGAAAAGAAGTGCGCGATGTCAAAACTCACGTACAAAGAAATTTTAAGTTTCGGTTGTTTTCCAATTTTATTTTATACTTTATCTAATGGTTATTTAATAACTTTAATAACTTTTTATTTGTTTTTCTTGTTTTTGTTTGAAACATAAAACATGTTGAAAACTGATGATTGTATAAAACTACAAAAGCTTTGAAGCTTACAAAAAATAAGAATTCGTACTAAATTTATTAACTTACTTTCATGTTGAAAACATGATTTCTCCGTGAATCTGTTACTTGACATAAAAAACAATCGGTTCAACGAAACAAACAAGGAAAATTTTCACATATATATATACATATATATATAGTTAAAAAGTGCTATGTTTTATCGTACTGTCTCCGTAATTGCCTACTTCACGTTTCTTTAGAGGTGAAAAAAAAAAAGTTAACTAGTTAAAGCAAAGTGTAGTTACGAGATGGAAGATATTAACGAGCATCTAAACGCATTTTGCAAATGTACAAAAAACATCAAGGGGACACGGCATACACAAATGAAGTCATCCGAGCAGTGCCATAAATGAATGTAAAATGTTAGCATAAAAGAGAAAAAGAACATAACATTTGATATCGGTCAATTCTTAATGTTTAGTTCATTTTCATCTTACTATTATTATAAACTAGATAAGGTCATAATTTCTAGAATTTATTAACAAGATAGAATCTAAAAAGATGTAAATATTTGATATAAATTTGTACATATGTTTTGATACGCAAATTAGGTCGACTGGTAGTGTGCATCTACTAACTTGTAAAATTTCACCATTTCGCTATCATACATTTCGGACATTAGTGAAGCCTTTGGAAAGGAAATATGGATATTGACTCGTGAACACATTACTTCCACGCCACATCACGTCGTGCAGGGTAATCGTGGCTTTTTCTGTCTTCTGAACTGATCCAACTTTCAATTTGTCAGTATGAAACTTCTATTATGCCGGAGTAATTATTGAGTCCAATAAGTAGACACGAAAAGCAAAAAAAAGCAAAAAAGCAAAAAAAAAGAGGAAATAAAGAAATACGAATGCTGAGAAAAGACGGAGAATACGATACAATAACGTTTTGGACATTTTTCAAACACTTCCAAAGGATATGTGTTATGGTTCCTTACGGAAATTAACGAAAGAAGCTTGGGAAATTTCTCGTCCGTACTTGTAAAATTAGGGTATATTAACGAAGCACTGAAATTGTATATTTTTTAGGCTTAGGCTAGGGTACCAGCCTACTTAGAAGATTTTGAATTACGCGAACATCTGCCGGTTCGACGTGTTATATTGCATTCTTCGAATCCAATTCGTTTAATTTAGAGGGTGTAGTGTGATATGTAAGATTATAGTATGCATTGGTTTTAGTTTGAACTTAAAGAACTGGAAGTAGCGTTATTTATGGCGTGGACCAAGTGTGTTCCTAGCTTAACTGTTGCGCCACTGTGAAATACACGTGTATGATAATTCTTTGCTGTGTATATATTAATATATAAGTAGTGAAGCAAAGATTATATGACGTAGCATGTAAATAGAAAATCACTTGTATCTTTTAATTAATTCATAGTTCTAACCGAAGCAAACGTAACAGTACGAAGCGTTGATATCCCATGAACTAATTTTGAATATTACTACCAAAGGTTTCACAATTTTAGCTCTCTCGGTTGCTGCTGTAGCTTTTTGGATTCAGAAGGTCCATTATAATTTCTTTTCTTTTTTTGTTTTTTCTCTTTTTTTTTTGTTTTTTTTTTT